AAGAAATATTAATAAAAAAATTAAGTAACATCCAACTTCTATTTTTGAGTGTTTGGAGTTTTTTCTAAGTAGTAATAGCTTTGAAATAGTTGATTAGATTGCTGTACATAAGCCCATAAAGTATTTTTCATGTTGCTTCAAGTAATTGCCTTGTTTTTAAGTGATTCAGATGAATCCTTTACAGATGTCTGTGAACTAACGACTAACTTATCTCCATTTTACATTGGATAAAACTGGCACACAGAAAGGCTAAGTGAGTTCCTCACAAATTGTTAGTAAGTGGTGGTGGCGGTGGTTGTGTGCCATCCAGTTGGAACCAACATATAGCTCACCCTCAAGCAATAAATCTCATGGGCCGAGATCTTCCATCCTTCTTGCAGAGCAGCTGGTGGATTCGAACCATGTGCCTTTGGGATTGCAGTGCCGCTTCTTACCACTGGACCACCTAGAAACGGGTGTATTATTTCCATGTAAATCACTAAGTGTACTGTATATAATTTTTTAAAATCCATCCCCTAATTAATTTGTATAAGGAAATAATATATTTACCAGACAAAAATAGAATAACCTCAAGGATTATTTCATTGATTTAAGTTATTTAATTAATGTTGTCTTCAATTTCCCACTTGAATTTTGTACATTATATTTGGTAGGATGGCACCGGAGGTGATCTTAGCAATGGATGAAGGACAGTACGATGGGAAAGTTGATGTTTGGTCCCTTGGGATCACCTGCATTGAATTAGGTAAGTTTATACAGAACTTTTAAGAATTGTTCTGTATTATATTTGTAACCTTGCTCATCCAACTGATGTCTCATGAGTTACTCCTGTATGTGTGTTGGGCAATGTGATACAAAGTGATTAGATACCCCTTGCCCTGATCTTGACTAACAGGAAACCATTTTTTGTTTCTGCTGCATTTTCAGGATAATAATTTAAATAAAAGAATTTGAATAGCGTGGTTGTTGTTAGGTGCTGTCAAATGGAGTATAACCCTGAGTAACCCTACGAACAACAGCCCTCACTGAATTCTCTTGGTTGATTGAGGTTTAGTGAAATTTCAGGTACAAACAATATATTTGAAATTGCAGTTTTAATGCTGAAGTTAGTTTGAAGAGTGTGTGTAGCACCTGAGTAGTGCCCCCTTTGCTCATGGCATCTCTTCTCTAGTGAGGTATGTCTCAAAACAAAACAAAACAAAAGATGCCACATTTAGAATCCATTGAGTGAGTGAGTAACTGAAGTAGTGTGATGAAGAAGGAAGACGTTCATATCATCAGAGCTGCAATTCTTTTCTCAGAATCAGGCATTAACATTTTTTTAAGTTTTAGACTTCATCTTTACTCAGCTGACTGTCCACTGAACACAGGACCCATATTGAAAGAAAGAAGAAAATTGCTAGTGGGTGGTGTTTTCTTGACTGACCTCCAGGCCTCTCTCCCAAGGCACCTGTAGGCCGGATCATACCACCAACCTTTGAACTAGTGGTTGAGTGGTCAACTTGAGGGCAGCAACAGCTAAGTCGCACTTCCACTGAAGCAGCCAGTTTAATCGGCGAATCTTCTGAAAATCCTTAGATGGTGAAATTTTTCTTTTGCCTGAATTTTCAGTTATTATTATCTTAAGAGACTATAACTTGATTCTGCTCTGTTGTCACTATGGAAATTATTTCATCAGCAGAGATCATGGTGGAAGCTGACAAATCATGTATCAGTACTGACTGTTCAGAAACGAATTCTAGAAGCGGGGGTGGGAGGAAGTAAATATTGTTGCTGTCAGGGAGCTCTGGTGGCCTAGTGGCAAGAAGCTGCGCTGCAATTCTGAAGGTGCATGGTTCAAGGCCGCCAGCTGCTCTGCGTAGAAAGATGCACACTCTCCCCACGGGCGATTAACTGACCCTGAAAACCCACCAGAGGGTTAGCTATGGGTCGGTTCTGACTTCACAGTACACAACAACAACAACATATCATTTCTTGTTCTAGAATTTTCTTCTTCTTTAATAAGCACTTATTTTTGTCTTTTAATGACAAATGCTTTAATTGATATTGTGGGAGTTATATTTAATCTTAATACTGCATTTTGTTTTGATGGTTGGGTTGGGGTTTTTTCCTCGTTGGGAAATGCAAGTCCTATCGATTATAAAATGTTCAGGGGTTTTGGAGAAGCACTGTGTCCTAGTGAAGATGTTGTTGTTGTTGTTGTTGTGTGCTTGTCAAGTTGAGACCTACTCATAGCTGACCCTCCAGTGGATTTTCAGAGGCATTTGCCCATCCTTCTCCCATGGAGCTGGATTAGAACTGTGTACCTTTGGTATTGCAGCACTGCTTCTTACCCCTAGGCCAGCAGAGCTCCCTGGTGAACATACTAGTCCTATCTACTATGAAATGCGCGGGGTGATTTGAGAGGCCCTGTGTTCTAATGAAGAGATAGCGGGCTTTGGAGTCTCACAGTTCTCTCTCACTCATTGTCATTGAATCTGAACTGACTCACCACTGACCCTCTACTGGGTTTCCCAAGCTGTAAGTCACAATGGGAAGAGATTGTCCATCTTACTCCCATGAAATTCTCATGGAGCCCCTTACTATGCAACTTGACTAATAATTTAGCCTGCTTCATCTCAGCTTCTTACTCTCTTTCTTTCATTTGAGAAGCTATGGATTCTATGTCATAAGAAGATTTCCCAATTGCTGTCCAGCTTATATTGAAGCTTCTCTGCAAACTCTAAGGAGCCCTAGCATGTGGTATATCAAGCTGCTAAAAAAACTAAAGGAAAAACAAAAGTTAGCAGTTCTAATCCATCAGCCAATCTGAGACAAAGGTGGGCCATCTCCTTCTGTAAAGGTTTCCAGCTTCTGAGGTCCACTGGGAGTCAGAAGTGAGTCTACAGCAGTGCCTTGGGTGCATACCATTGGTTCACCTGTCTGTAAAGGGCCAGATAGTAAAGATTTCTAGCTTATTAGCTCTCGTCTTGACCCTGGCACAGTGTGAAAGCAGCCATTGAGCGTGTGCCCTGTGTCAGCAGCGTCTGAGAGGTTCCATTACATAGAAATGTCTTCTGTATCCCTCTTCATCCTACTTTCCCGTGCTTCTGGAATTTTTTAGTGAGCATGTGTTTTTTCTTTTTCTTTTTCTTTTTTTTTTTTAACACACGCACACTTATTGAGGAAAGATGTTCACACTTACTGTGGAAAGATAGGCAGAGGTCAACCCTTTAAAGCCTTGTGAAAAAAAAAGAAAAGTTTTCTTCTACTGTCTTGAAACAGGTTCTGTTAGGAGCTTTGCCCGTGTTCATTAAGATGACCACTAGCTTCTTCTGAATGTCTATCCTGTGACGACCTTAGAGATTAAAACAAGTGGATTATATGACATGATGACAGTAATAAGCTATTGATTTAGCGGAAGCTTTGCACACCGTCCCTGTTGCCCTGTCCATCGGATTTCTTTGAAGAATTGCTTCACTGTTTCTCTCTCTTCTTCTTCCAGCGGAACGGAAGCCCCCCCTTTTCAACATGAATGCAATGAGTGCCTTATACCACATTGCCCAGAATGACTCCCCAACGTTACAGTCTGATGAATGGTAAGACCTCTCCGTCCTCTTGAATGTCTAAGAAAATCATCATGTGCATTTGACACTTTCATTAAACGCCCTGTAAATTAACTGACCTAGAAAGTATTTCATCCCTTCCTTGTATGTTTTTTAAAAGGGTGCTGGAGCCTCACAAGTATCGACTATCCGTACACACACATTTTTCTGTTTTGTTCCACTCTAACCATAGTTTGCATTGTGCTCTTAATATGTGTAACAGTTGAAAAACCATAGCAGATGTTCCCTGGTACCTTCCAAACAAACCTAGTATTTCAAGCCATGATGGTCTTGTAATTATCAGTGCTTGCCTGTTCTCACTAGAGATAAAGTATCCATCCTTTCTGCTGTCATTACTTTTCCAGTTGTCATTTTTTTTAAAAAAACAAAAACCTTCACATCTATTTAAATCTGTTGACATAGGGCATATTCTTTTTACAAGATGTGTATTTTCCTTTTGGAAGGTTATGATATTTTGATCGCTCTTTGGGCCACAGACTTTTATAGACAGGGGACCTTTTTATTCTTTTTAACATAATCGTTGTTGTTGCGAAGTATCATTAAGTCGGAACTGACCCTCCAGCGGGTTCCTGGAATCAATTGCATGGGAGGAGATTGCCCATCCCTCCCTTACAGGACAGTTGGCGAACCTGAACCACATGCCGTTCGGTGGGCAGCACAGCTCCCCACCACTAAGTCACCAAGAGCTCTGAGAGGCAGCCTTTTGAACAACCATGGGCAAAATGGAATTTCCACGTGAGGTGTCCTTGTTCAGACAGCATATTCCCAGGTTCCTGCTTCGCAACTTATCACCTGGTTATGAGTTGTGGGTAGTGGACAAGTTCCCAGCTGGCCATGGAGAATATAGACTTGAGACTAACAGGGAAGATGTATATAAACTATTGCATAATATTTTTAAATTTTCTGATCAAAATTATTTGCCCTTGCTTTTATATATAATGAGATAGATTTCTGTCTGGACTAACCTAAAATTGCATCCACCTGCGTGATCTAAGAGAATTTATTTTGAAAATTTTGTAAACTTGAAAATGCTCTGGTTCTCTTGAGAGCCCAAAATATGTTAAGGTCCCTCTCTTAAAAATACAGAAATATCTCATCAGTGAGTATCGTTGCGAGTTATCTATGTGCTTTATGGACTGATTTTTCTTCTCCTTCAATGTATTTGCATGCACAGGACAGAAGCCTTCAGAAGGTTCGTTGATTACTGCTTACAGAAAATACCTCAGGAAAGACCAACGTCAGCGGAACTATTACGGGTAACCCTTTAAATTTATATTTGAGGAGGGGGATTTACAGTTGTATTTTAGTGGAGCATGCTAAATCATTCCCATGGCATCTCATCATGACAAACTAAATTCTTTTACTAGACAAAACATCAAAAGAACAGGGTTATCTCTCTCCGTGTGTGTGTGTGTGTGTGTGTGTGTGTGTGTGTGTGTGTGTGCGCGCGCGCGCGTGCGCTATTTCCCCTGTTGGTTGGTTGTTAGGGTTCCCCAAACCCACATATTTTCTTCTTTTTTGTCTTATGTCAGTGAATATTACTCCTTTTTGCTCTAATCTTCATCATGATAATATTCATATAAGTTACCTGTGTGAACTTCAATATAGTGCTTTGTCAGAAAGGAGTGTTCTAGGAGAAGCGATTTTTTAAAATACAATATCACCTGGGAGAGACTAGAGAGCGTTTTGCTGAGTGAAATATCTCAGTCATATAAGGATAAATATTACATAAGGTCACTATTGTGTATATAAAAAGATAGCAGAGTAAGCTATGTATAAATGTTCAAAAGAGGAAGGGGAAAAGAAAAAGGGAAAGGGAGAAAAATCACTGGGACAGCAGGGGTTAGTGAATGGAGAGGGCGATGCAGTAATCGGGAAGGTTCAATGGGTGTTTGAAAAGATGGTTGATAATAAACATTGAACAATGGTAATTAATTATATAAAATATAATGTATATGAATGATTGTATAAAACACAGAGTACATGTACAAAGCAAGATATATATGAATAATTATATGCAAACCAATGAAAGAAAAAAAGAAGTCTTCTACCAATTCAGATGCCAGCTCTGAGACTTCCATCTGATGGTTGTCAAAGCAGTGAAGATGTGTGATACCTTGCATACTGCATTACTGTGAATGATAATAACCTGTGAGTTGTATTTATTTGATTTAAGCATCACATTTTTAATACATTTCATATATTATTTTCTTATAACTAGATAAAAGAGATATGTTCTATCAGTAAAAGTGAGATATGCAATTATCATTTAAAATATTCATACCATTTTTGTCTTGGTAGAAGATAATCTCGATCTCTTTAGCTTTTCCCTTCACCTATGCTTTTTTTTTTAAATTTTTATTTTTGTGTGAGTGTACCATCAAATCGGATCTGACTGGTACAGGAGGAGATTGTCCCTCCTTCCCCGGCAGAGCATCTGGTGGATTCGAACCGTGCGCCTCTGGGATTGTTTTTTTTTTCTATAATTATATTTTATTAATTTTCATAAACATTTACAGAGATTTTGGGTTTCCATTCATTCATTGTTGCACTATTCTCTCTACCCTCCTCCCAGTTTGTTCTTATCCAAATGCCACAGTGCTTGTCAAAGCCAGTTCTGATTAATCTCCTTTGTCAGTGTGTCCTTTGTCATTCCCTATCACTCCTCCCTGAGAGAGACTTCACCCTGAGTCATAAGGAAAAGGGGATGGCATATTCTCTTAGCTACTTCCTGCTAAAAAGGGACGCTGTGGGTTTCAGGGTGAAGATCTTCTCTCACTACTCTAAAGGGCCCCTTTGGCAGTAGGAAACACATAGATTTTATGGAGATTGATTTTGGGATTTAGATGCACTCTTATTGATTGTGCTTGGCCGTACATGTTCATATCATTGAAGATGTATCATGGGGGTGTTGCAACCTAGAAGACACAAATTTGACTAACAAGTTATAAGTACATGAGTCCAAAAATTATGGAAAAGTAAAAGAAAAGATTCTTTCATTGTTTTACTAACCCTCCCCCAGGTCCCCTCCACCATGTAGCCCTCGCTCTAGTCTCCTGTGAGTTGCAGCTCCTTGCCACTAGGCCACCAGAGCTCCCCTTCACCTATGCTTTTTGTTGTTAATTTTTTTTTCCCTCCTGTTGTTATGTGCCATCAGGTTGGAACTGACCCTCTAGTGGGTTTTCAGAGCTGTTAAATCTCACAGGAAGAACTTGCCCATCTTCTCCTGTGGAGCAGCTTGTGGATTCCAACTGTTTGCCTTTGGGTTGGGAGCATAACTCCTTATCATGGCCCATCAGAGCTCCCATTTTCTCTTGATATTTATTGATTGCATTTTATGACTGAGCAGTGTTGTTGTTTGTTATTGTTTTTTTCCAAGATAAACTCAAAAGGGCAATATTGCCTAAATTTGTGAGGCTTGAGAATGTCAGCTGCCTTAATGCTTAAAGAGCACCTTGCCTTGGCCAGAAATTTTTGGTTTATATTTCTTTCTTTTGTAAAACCTCTATAAACATCATTCTACAGCTTTCTGGCTTTGAGTGCTTCTGAAGAGGTTTGAGATCTGAAGCCAGCTGGGTTATTGGTTTGTTTTTTTTTCCTCCCACATGAAATTTCAAAATGATAATTCTTGTGCGTGGGGGGGCCACAGACTATGGTGGCAGAACAAAGAACACCACCGTGGTCTCCATGCATGGAATATTCTAGACCTGAGCTCCTTTATGTACTTTGACAACAGCACCACTCTTCTATACAAAAAAAATCATGTAGTAAAACACTAAATGTAGGGAGCTCTGGTGGCCTAGTGGCAAGAAGCTGCACTACAATCCCAGAGGTGAGCGGTTCAAATCCACCAAAAGCTCTGCTGGAGAAGGAGGGGAAGTCTCCTCCTGTACTAGTCAGATCCAATTTGACGGTACACATGAAATAACAAAATAAAATAAAAATTTTAAAAAACTCCACCAAACACTAAATGTACCGTGAGGTGGTGTCTTTATTACTGTAATGTAGATAAGGTTTAATAGGGGAGGGGAAAAAAGCACTACCATCAAGGAAAAACAGTGACATATTTGGCATATTAGAATTCAAGTGTGGATAGATATTACGAGAATTTTAAAAAATGAATTTTTAGGGGTCACAGGCAACAGAAGGCATGTTGGCAGGAGTAAAGGCAAAAATTTAAATCCTATTAGAAACAGCAAAGTAATACAACTAAAAAGACTGAACAGACATAAGTCTTACGGAAATAAACTTACGTGCAGGAGAAAGAAGGTCTGTTTTTTCCTGAAAAGAGCTCTGGTTAATGCAGTCTGTAGCAGGATATACTAACAAAAGGTGGTATCTAAAGTAGTTCAAATCCACCAGCCAACTTAAGGAGGTAAGCTGGACAGTCTGTGAAAAATAATGTGCACGAACTTTGTAAGCAAACCCGAATAAAATAAAAAATTATTAAAAAAAATAAATATCTACAGCTTTGGTAACTTGATGGAATATTCTTAGGAATTAGAACCTACTTGATGGCATTAAGTTTAAGTTCAGTTTATTAGCAATGAAATTTGTAAACTTTCACTCAAATAGATTTGTAAGTAAAAAAAAGTTTAGTATCTAGTCACAGTCAGTTTTCTAGTTCTTTCCTTTTTAACTGAAATAATGCACCTTCTCTTCATGGCTTACCGTGTTTCTTTGACATTGGTTCCCTTTTGAATAACCTCAACTGAGCTCAAGTACAGTCACAAAACTGGTTAGAACCAGAATGTAAATGGTAAATATATACATACTAATATGGTAACTAAAAAATCAGGGATGGGAAAGGAAAGTATACCAATCTTCCTGTCAGATAAGAGGATTGGCGATACTGTTTCAAGTTGTGATATATGTTGTTGTTGTTGTTGTTGTTAAGTGCCGTGGAGTCACAGACGACTCATAGCAACCCTGTTAAGGTCAGTCCTCAACCCTTGAGTGTCTTTTGTCCTCTCTCCAGGTTCATAGAGTTTCTGGAGGCAAGCTGTTAAGGAAGTGGATGCCACTCCTCCTTCCAGGCTTGTTTTAATCGGGGAACTCCACCCCACTCTCTGTCCACATTGGGTAACCAACCATTAATGCATTTGACACATCCGTGTCACAGTGTTCAGCCTCACAGCAATCACAAGTTACCGCTGTACGGCAACTTGTACACCAGGGCTATAGGACCTAGAGGAATGTCTGAACAAAAAAAAATGAAAGACAGGCCCGAGGGCCGTGGATTAAAAGTCACCCACCTTTGGCTTGGTAGCATCCCTTTCTGTCCACTGGGCCAGCTGATCTCTCTCTCTCTATGTTGTGATACATAGCTTCAAAAATAAAAAATGAAACTATCATCCTAAAGAGTTTTTGTTTTATTTTCTCTCTTAATTTTAGATGATCACTTAGGAGCTGATAACTCCTCTGCCAGAAATTGAAACTAAAGTTAAGCGACTCTTTCACTTTGATATTTTTGAAAAATCTTTGCCCTTGAAAATCGATTCAGATTTGCCTTTGAATCGATTCAGACTCTTAGCCCCTATTAAGGACAGAGTAGAACTCTGCCCCATAGGATTTCCAAAGCTGTAAATGTTTACAGAAACAAACTGCTACATCTTTCCCCAGAGGATTCACAGGTTGTTTTTTTTTTCTTAGCAGCCCAAAATTTTATCCTCTGAGCCCCTAAGGCTCTTTTTTATTTCCCCCCCTCTTCTATTAAACTCAAATACTCTTTAATTAATTTCATTGTTAATGTTAGGCGCCATCAAGTTGAGTACGACTCATAGCCTCGCTATGAACAGCGGATCTGAACCCCGTCCTATCCTGCACGATCCTCACACTCCCTGACACACTAGAGACCATTGCTGGAGTCACTGTCAGTCCACCTGGTTGGGAGACTTCCTCTCCTTTGCCGACCCTCCACCCTTCCCTCTCCAAGGAACAGCCTCTCCTAGTAAAATGCCCCAAAAGTGTGAGAGGTGAAGCCTCATCATCCTTGCCTCCAGAGAGCACTTCAGCTGCACCCTCTCCAAGACATATGTGTTTGTTTTCTTGGCCCTCCGTGCGATGTTCAGTGGTCTTCTCCACCACCACAGCTCAAAGGCATCAGTTCTTCTATCATCCCTATTCATTGTCCACCTCTCAGGTGCATAGCAAGTGATCAGAAAGACCGTGACCTGAATCAGACACACATTAGTCCTCGCCTCAAAACCCTATGAACCGCAGAAGAATGCAGATAGTTAATTTTATTAGTTAGACT